TTCCTTCCTTCCTTCCTTCCTTCCTTCCTTCCTTCCTTCCTTCTTTCCTTCTCCTCCCTCCCTCCCTCTCCTTCCCTTCCCCTCTCATCCTCTCCCTTCCCCTCCTGTGCAGTGTGGATAATATCTCTCCTTGTGGCAGGCCAAAGCAAGTCAGCTGTTCTTGGTAGGCCTAACTCAGTAAAAGAAGGAAAGAAGAACCACGTGGGTGGGTGCTGCCCCAGAAAGATTGTTGGATAAACACATTTCAAGATTCAGCATCTTTTCCAACCGTGTTTGTCCCTTGTCAAGCTGGCCCCGGGTGTTCTCACACTCTGCTGTTCCTTGGTGAAGGACAACAAACCCTGAGGATATCAACCAGAATTTCTGCGCAGATGATCAGTTTGTAAACAAGTCAGCCAAGCAAGGCTTAAGCTTAGGCTTCATTAACCAGCGTCAAATAACATAAAAGATCTGAAAAACAAGAGCAATGTTTCTCAGCACCCAGTCCCCAGTGTGCCTTCCACGTGACGTGTGACGGCCTTGGGAATGACGACAGTTGTCAAAATGGAAGCATCCTTCAGGTGCTCCGAGGACCATTTCATATGCTGCAGTGAATCATTCATGGGATCTCATCATCATCCCAAATCACGGGCAGAGCCAGTCATAAACCAGGAATGTCAGTCCTGGCACTTCTCACCAAACGAGCACCTGGCACGTCCACTGTTATTGCATATCCCTCCAGTTAACGACGCCATCATCCAGAATTCTGCAGCACATTGCACTATTATTCACCAGCCTTGCACGTTACATCATTCCAGCCTCAATCACAACACGTGTGCCAGGAGGAAAAAGTCAGACATGAACTCCTAAAACCTCTCTCCTATCCTGCCATGCTCCAAAATCAAAAGGGTTTACAGCTCCTGTTTGGGACCAGTGAGTTTTGACCCGTTTGATGCCCTTCCTTGCCACCGTTGTTAAGTGAATCATTGCAGTTAGGCTTCCCCATTGTATTTGCATGTTGGAAGTTCGCAAAAAAAACAACTGATCACATGACCCTGGGAACTGAAACTGTCATAAAGACATGCCAGTTGCCAAGTGTCTGAATTTTGATCCCATGACCAAGGGGATGTTGCAATGGTCATAAGTATAGAAAACCACGATAAGCCACTTTTTCCAGTGCCATTATAACTTTGAACGGTCACTAAATGAATGGTTGTAAGTCAAGGACTATCTGTAACAGAATTGGAAGGGACCTTGGAGGTCTTCTAGTCCAACCCCTGCTCAAGCAGGATACCTATGCCCTTTCAGAGAAATGGCTGTCCAATCTCCTTTTAAGAAACCATTAAGAGGTTGTCCTGACCAGACAATCAGGAATTCAATTTTCGGGCAAGGAGTTCTCGACTTATGACCAAATCTGAAGTTCCAACACTTGGCCCTGCCCATGCGAACATATGACCAGACTTTGGGGCTTTGACATATACAGCTGTTTGTGGCATCCTGGGTTCACATGACCATGTTTGGTTAATGACTATCCTGAAAAGTGTAAAATCACATGACTTGCCTGTTTTACAACCCGTTGCAACTTACGACCGATTCCATTGCAGTCGTTCGTTAAGGACTGCTTGTATAGCAAAGTGAATGGGGAAGCCAGATTCACTTAACAACAGTGCCACTAACATAACAACTGCAGGGATTCACTTAACAACTGTGGAGAGAAAGGCCGTCAAACGGGGAAAAGTTCACTTAATAAATGCCTCACTTAACAACAGAAATTTTGGGCTCAGTTGTGGCCGTAAGTCGAGGACTACCTACATTCTAAATTAATTCATTCATGGAAAGGCAGCCTCATGATCAGATTTTGAGATAATCTGGGTTTTCCTGCATCTGTGCATAAAGCCATGGAGGCCTCCTTTCGTCTCCCCGCGTTAATTGTTGGTTTTGCTTCTTCCATCACAGTCTACAATCAAGAATTGGAACAGTTTGTTCTCTAATGCTGTTTCTCACCAGCCCTTGCTGGCAGTTCCTGGCCTCTATTTGGACAGCTAAATTATTCCTAGGATGCGTCCATGCAAGGAACCGGCGTTAGGTTTGTCTGGGCATGGGTGGTGTATAAAAAAAGTTGTGCCAGTCAGTGTTTCCATCGCCTTCTCTTCCATCCCTGGAGGTTTTCAAGAAAAAAAAAATTGGGCAGCCATGTTTCTGGAATGGTGTAGGGCAGAATCTCCAACTTTTCTGGCTTTGTGTGAACTGGCAGTGCGAGTGGCGGGCAAGGGGGCACACTTGTGCAGCTCCATTTGCATGAGTGGCAGGCACTTGCACCCAGTTGTGCAAATAAAGTGTGTGCGTGCATTCGGTCGCCCAGTTCTGAATGGCTAAAGACCCAGTAGTGGGCTATGACCTGGGTGTTGGGGATCCCTGGTGTAGGGCCTTCTGTTTGAGCAGGGGGTTGGACTAGAAGACCTCCAAGGTCCCTTCTGGTATTCTGTTAAATGAAACTTGGGAAAATCAGCATTTGCTTCTGTTGACTTCTCTCCTCCTCCTCCTTTCCACAACCCCGACTCCCTCCTAGCACTGATGCCATTACCTAGTTGGGTCATGAAACATCTGCAAGAAGGCAACCAAGCTCAGAAAGCATCAGGGACCCCACAGTCTTCCTCCTCCTCCTCCTCCTCCTCCACAAACCTCATTTCCTTCTAGCACTGATGCTGTTGCCCAGCTGGGTCATGATACATTATCTCAGTGCATGAATTCAGAGAGATGGAACAGATGCTCTGAAATTAGAAAATTAAACTCTTGAAGAGCCAGAATAATATGAGAGCAAAGTGACATATTATCTGGAACTTCACAGGAAACAATCGACCAATCAATCAGAATAGAGTTGGAAGAGACCTGGAGGTTTTCTAGTGCAACAACCTGCTCAAGCAGAGATCCTATACCAGGTGCTAGCAAACCTTTTCGGCACCGAGGGCTGAAATGGGAGCACGCGCATGGGGGAGTGCCAGAAACTGGAAGAGCAGCTCCCTGGTGCACATGCGCGCCAGCCACCTGGGCCTCCAATTTCTGCCGCACATGCACGCTCAGCTACTCTTCCGGTTTCCGGCATTCCCCCATGCGCACGAAAACCAGCTGGCTGGCGTGTATGTTTGCACCAGGACCCGGGAGAGCAATGGGCGACGGCTGGTGTCCCCGGGGAGATGGCTCTGCGTGCCACCTCCGGCACATCACGGCCCTATACCATTTCAGACAGGTGGCTGTCCAGTCTTTCTTTAAAAACCTCCAGTGATGAAGCTCCCACAACTTCTGAAGAGAAACTGTTCTCCTGGTTAATTGTTTTCACTGTCAGAAAGTTTCTTCTTCCTTCTAGGTTGCTTCTCCCCTTGATCACTTTCCATCCATTATGTCTTGCATGCACTCTGGTGCCTTGAAAAATAAGTTGACCTCCTTTTATTTTTGTCAGTCCCTCCAATACTGGGATACTGTTCCCTAGCCCTTCTTTTCTCTAGACTGGCTATACCCAATTTTTGCAGCCGTTCTTCATATGTTTTAGTCTCCAGACCAGAGGTGGGTATTCAGCAGGTTCTGACCAGTTCTGGAGAACCAGGAGCGGAAAGTTTGAGTAGTTCGGAGAACCGGCAAATCCCACCTCTGACTGACCCGGCCAACCCCATATCTTCTCCGCCTCTCATTGAGTCCCAGCTGATTGGCTGGGTCTTCTTTGGTTGCCCTGCACAGGAGAACAGAGCTGGAAAGCAGGTTGGTGGGGTGGGGAGGGAATGGGGATTTTGCAGTAACCTTCCTCTGCCACGCCCACCAAGCCACACCCACAGAACCAGTAGTAAAATTTTTTGAATCCCACCACTGCTCCAGACCTTTAATCATCTTAGTTGCTCTTCTCTGCACTTTTCCCCCCAAAGTCTCAACATTTTATTTGTAATCACCTTTGTAAGCATTACAGATATCTGTTTCTTTTAATCTAGTTTATTTTAGAAGAGTTGCAAAGGATATGCCATAGATAACATCCTAACCAGTACAATGTTAACAGAACATGATTCACAAAATTTGGGATGTTACAAATCTGTAAAATAATAAATGAATGTATATAACCCCCCCGCCCCCAAGGAATAAAACACATTATTTCATCGGGCACAAAATAAATACCCTACGGGTAGCCCTCAATTTACAACCATTTGTTTATTCTAATCAAAGTTACAACAGCACTGAAAATGGACTTCTGACCAGTTTTCACACTTACGACGGTTGCAGCATTCCCGTGGCCACGTGATAGAAATTGAAGCACTTGGCAACAGGCATGTACTTGTGACAGTTGCATAGTCCCAGGATCCTCATTTCTAACCTTCCCAGCCAATTTCAGACAACCAAAGCTAATGGGGGGGGGGGGAGCCAGATTCACTTAACGACTCATGATTCACTTAACAACTGCAGTGTTAGCTTAGCAACAGTGGCAAGAAAGATTGTAACTGGAGGAAAACTCAGTTTGCTTAGCAACAGAAATTTGGGTTCTATTGTCATAAGTTGAGGCAACCTGTATTTCTCATCGTTTAAGACAATCAAGTGATAATAATTACATTTTCACTGTGCTTTTTTAATCAGCGGATTTGCCTGAGCAAAGCAAGATGCAAAATGGCAAACGTTTATATTTCAGTGCTTCTGTTTGATGGGAATGATAAGATAAACTCTTAATATCTTTATCATCTGAGATCACATTTCCAGAGCAGCATGAGGTTAAAAAAGAAAGAAAGGAAGAACAATACAAATGCAAATTCTGAATGATACAAGGCAAATCTCACAAAATATAAGAACAATGGTTTTGTAGAAACAAAAAAGCATTTACGGATCCGGCTGTGGTTTTGCTTTATACAATACACACCCAAGTATTATTCTGAGTTATTATAATATATAGTGAGGTATAGGTGAATATGGCATGTAAAATCATATTGAAATTAAAATTATGTTTGCTTGAGTCGACAGCTTATATGACTCACTTATCAGGAGGGTAGAAATTACAGGTAGTCCTTGACTTAGAACAGTTTGTTTAATGAACATTCAAAGTTACAAAGGAACTGAAAAAAGTGATTTATGATGGATTTTCATAGTTACAACCTTTGCAGTATCCTTTTGATCATGTGATCAAAATTCATATCTTATATTTATGACGTTGCTGTATCCCGAGGTGGTGATCACCTTCTGACAAACAAAGTGAATGGTAGGAAGCCTGATTCATTTAACAATTGGGTTACTAACTTATTAACTGCAGTAATTATCTTAATAACTATGACAAGAAAGGTCATGAAATGGGGCAAAATTCACTTAACAAATGTCTCACTTAACAGCAGAAATTTGGGGTAAGCTGAGGGCCACCTCTATGTGCAACAATTTACTTCCTAAATCCCTTTCTTTCTTTTAATTTTTGAAAAAAGTATTTTGATAATAATATTAATACCTCGGTAGCTCTAGTTCTAAGAAACAAATTATTATCTGTGATGTTCTTTGAGTTTGGTGGATTTCTTTTGTTTTTCAAATATAGTTTTTTAAAAAATTAATTTATATTATTTAATATGACATACAAAGAAGATACTAAAGTAAATATTAGGGAAGTTAGGGAAAGAAAAAGGGAAGTGGATAGTGGGGGAAACCAAGGGAAAAAGAAAAAAAGGCATCAATTTTCAACTCCTTTGGTACAGTAAAATAAGGCATTAGCATCTATCCTAAACTTTTTACTTTTTCATAATAATACAAACTAGCCATTTCTATAACAATAAATCTATCTAATCGGTAGAACCCAGAATCAAAGTTTCATTTTTTTCCACCTCAAGCACAAACTCCAGAAGTGGTTTCCAAGTAGAAATAAAGGTATTTGTGGTTTTTTCTTTAATCAAAATATTTAATTTAGCCATCTCTGCTGAGCTTGGTGGATTTCTTGCAGGCGTTTCATGACCCAGCTAGGTAACATCATCCGTTTGCAAATTATGACTTTTCAATACCATTTTTTTTTTGTTTCCAAAAAAAGGCATTTTATGAATGTACTTGAGACATAAAATGGGAAGCAGAGCTTTACCTAAGAGGCAAAGAAAGTTGGCTACCAACTCTAACCTGTTCTTTTATGTTTCAAAGAATATGTTTTAGATCAGGGGCATCCAGGGGTGTCAAAAAAGTCAAGATGGCGGCCACAACTGGGTAATTGGCCCATGCATACATTAAGAAAAGTGTCTGGGCTTTGATTATCCAGTTGCATCCTTTACCTCAAGGTTTTTTGGATACTCACCATCCTTAATAAACACTCCTGAGTTAGACAACCAAGTTTTTGGAGAAACTGACAGGGAAGAAAATGAACTAAGAACCCGAATTACAACCAGGAAGCCATCGTTTGAATATTGCTGCTGCCCTGAGGGTCACAAGGTAGCTTTTTATGTTCTCTGTTCATCCCAGTTTTCCCTTGGTTGCAATACCGAAATAAGGGTGTTGGGTCCTTGGTTCTCTCTGGACTTGGTGGTTTTCTTGCAGACGTTTCATAACCCAACTAAGTAACATCAACAGTGCAAGAAGGGAGTGAGTTTCTAGCTTCTAGTACTGATGATGTTACCTAGTTGGCTACCTAGTCAGAGCCGAAGAAACTTCATGGATGAGAAGCGAAACGCCTTCAAAGAAAAACCAGAAAGTCCACTTGCCTCTTGAGAAAGCATCTTTGGGACAGTTGGATCATGAAACATCTGCAAGAAAACCACCAAGCACCCCATAGTCCTTATACTCCTCCTCCTCTCCACAATCTCCACTCCCTTCTAGCCAGGGGTGGGATCCAGCTGATTCGGGCCAATTCGGGCGAACGGGATGTTAAAGTTACATCTGGTTTGCCAAACCGACTGTTGAACCGACTGGCTGACCCCACCCACCCTGCCCCGCCCTTCCCAGGCATCTCCACATGGCCCATTTTGGGTGCAAGTAAGTGCAGGGTCTGCGCGGAGGCTCTGGGGAAGGCGAAAAAAGTTCTGGTAGGCCATGCCCACCCAGCAACCGGGCAGAAATGGATGAGATTTTTGAATCCCACCCCTGCTTCTAGCACTGTTGATATTCCCTAACTGGGTCATGAGACACCTGCAAAAAAGCAATTAAGATCAGACAGCATCAAGGACCACCCCCCTGATCTCCTCTTCTTCCTCCTCTTCCTCCTCCTTTCCCCAAACCCCGCTCCCTTCTAGCACTGATGATGTTCCCTAGTAACTGTAAAAAAACCACGAAGCTCAGAGAGCACCTTCAATCCACAAAAAGTTTCTCTGCAAAAATTCCAGTGGAAAAATCTTACCTTAAACCAGGTCATTTTCCCTCCTCCCCCCTCCCCCAATGATCACAGCTGGATGTTCTGGCAATTTTCTGAGTTTTCAGGTTCTTCCCTTAATTTTTCTCTGAAAGATTTCCTACACTCTCCGCATCTTTGTTTACATTCTGACAGCTTGCTATGTCGGTCTAATATGGAACTAAGCTAATTTATTATCAGTTAAGTAATTTCAAATGGTCTTCCTCCCTGTCTGCACTCTTGCTAAAATGGCATTAAGCAATAAAATAGGCAGGGATGTCCAAAGTTTTTGTAGGAGTCTGGCTATTCCTTGATATTCATGAAGTGGCCAGTCCAGATCAGACCAACAAGCTAAAACCTCTAACAGGAGAAATCCTCTATTTTTTATTTTTTTGGACAAGTGGATTGCCCCATCAAGAACCCAATTTTTCTTGGATTGGACATGTTCAGATTCAACAGTATTTCTCTCCCTCTCCTTTTCTCTTTCATTCAAAGCTTCAAGGAAAGGTTGTATCTATGGAAGGAAAGCCACGAAAACCGACATTTTAGATAAGCAACCAGATGGGGAAAAGCAGGGGGCAAAACTTTGTTGCTTGCAAGTCTTCGTTTTCGAACTTGGTTATAAATATAAGCCTCCTTTGATATCATTTTGGCACTGATTTGCAACTGACGTATAAATGTCACTGCCTTGTTTTTTGGAAAAATACTTTTAACTCAGAGGTGTCTGTAGGAAGAGGTAAAAAATTCAAGTTAGTGGCCTCAGTTATACAGCTGAAACTCTGTACTCAAAAGGGTACGGGGTTTCCGCTGCGTAACTGAGGCCACTAGCTTGAATTTTTTACCTCTTCCTACAGATACCTCTGAATTAAAAGTATTTTTTCCAAAAAACAAGGCAGTCACATTTATAAGTTACAAAAGTTACATTAAAAAATTACATATTTGGGAAGACATTTTGACTTTTTTGCCACCTCCCCTTGAACACCTCTGCTTTAACTGATCTTTTGGGCTTCAGGCATCTACCACGGCTCCTATTCTTACCTGTCCTCTGACTGACCTTCTAAAATTACTATCTATGGAAGTTCACATCTACAGATGATTCTCGATTTACGACTCGTCACTTAGCAACCGTTTGAAATTATGACTGACCCAAAAAGGGGATTTATAAGCAGTTTCAATGGTGAGGGGCCCTCCATGGCCACGTAATCGAATTTTGGGTGCTGGGCAATACCACAGCATTTAGGAGCATTTGCAGCATTCTGACAACTTTTATTACAGTTTTACCGAAAACCATCACTTATTTCTGGTTTTCGGCAAAACCGTGCCCAGGACAAACCCACTTCACCACCATCACCAAAAAGGTCATAAAGTCAGATGGTTTACATGATTGATGCATTTTGTGATGGTTATGACAAACGACTGCAATGGGCAGACTCCGTTACAGTCGTTTGTCAAGGGTACTTTTGTAGGATACAAAGATGAATCTAGAGGCAACCTTAATTTTTGTCCCCATCTGGTATAAAGTCTAGGTTTACACCACGAGTTTGTTACTTTAGAGACGCTGGCGAAATTTGAAATCGATGTCGCGTGTCGGGTGCGCCGTCCCAACCACGATGCGTTGTTCAACCGAGGAAGGCAGTTCTTCTTCTGGGTTGACCAGCTCCATGTCGAAGTGGGTGAGCATCAGGATGGTGAATATTTTCATTTCACTGATCGCAAAAAAGCGGCCGGGACACATGAAACTTCCACTTCCGAAAGGCATGATACAAGTTCTCAACTTTTTGCCATTTTTGAAGAATTCTTTTCTCTTGCCCTCGGGGCTCAAGAAGCGGTCATACTTGAAGGTTTGAGGCTCAGGGTAGATTTCCGGATCCATGTGGAGTCCCAGGAAAGGGAAGAGAAGTAGATGGTCGTCTTTCCGAAGGTCATATTCTTTGCCATTGTCCATCTGGAGGCTGAAGTCCTCCATCACGGTCCTAAATACAAAAGAACCTGCTTTCAAGCGGAGAACTTCTTCCACCGCACTGTCAAGCAAGGGAGTCTTGATGGCCTGCAACGAGAGGTCCATCGGGTTCTTTTCTTGGCCCGTCTCCTTTAGGACTTGTTCTACCTCTGCTCTTATTGCCTTCATGGCGTCAGGGTGTTTCAAAAGATAGGCAAGCAACCAGAAAGTTACCGGGCCCGTGTTGGCTTGAGAAGCCCACAGGTATAGGAGCTGGACCTGAGTCCTCATCTTCTCATTCATCCCAACGTCAGCCAGTTGTCGATCCTGGTCCACCAACCAGAAGCTTATGTCCTCCCTCTTGTCTATTTTTTCGACGGACAGGAGATCCCAGAAGTAGTTCTTCAGCCTCTGGATCTCCTTCCTGGCTTTGGAATCCATGTTGTTAACGATCATTTGAGGAAAGAATTTGTCAAATTGCTGGAAGTCCTCAAAGAGCTTCTGGTAGGGTTTATATCTTCTCTCCTTGGTGTTTTCTTTGCTGTTGACCTCCAACTCAGGCACAGCGCCAAACAATGACAGGAAAGAAGCTAGGAAGATGGTTTTGTAGCTGAAGCGCCAGAGTCCATCCTGACACCAGTCCTTTTCCCCAGCAGAATCAAGCAAGATTTCCTTCAGATTTTGCATCAAAATTTGGTTGAGGGCAAGCAGACTCTTTCCTTGAAGATACTTCCTGCTGCCAGTTTCCCCAATCTTATGATGCGTGGTGGTCGGTTGGAAATTAAAAACTTTTGTGACGACGTTGGCCGCGAAGACCCCAAAATCCAGCTTGCTTTTCGATTCCTTGGAGATAAATCTGTACGTGTGAGGATCCATCAAAATATGGATATATTGGCCTCCAACCAACAATGTGAAGATATCTCCGTGTTTCTTCCTCATCTGTTCCAAAAATGGGAAGGGTTGTTTGCTCAAACTTAACCCGTGACCTACCCATGGAATCAAGCCTTTGTCCAAGGGGGGTTCCTTCGGTCTTTTCCGACGGAACAGTCCGATTGTGTAGAGTCCACCAAAGATGAGGGAAATGAGTGTGGACAGGAGAGCACAAAGGACTGTCTCCCACAGCTTCATCATGAGCATGCGAGGAACAAGCTTTGGCTAGATCAACTGATCTGGTGCACAGGGCAACTGGCATTTATAAACCATCCAGTCATATGGCAGTTCAGCATGGGACTGCCTAATTCCATCTGTTGTGGTTCTCCACCCAAGCTGTTGTGGTTGGGTTGAGTTGTGAGCAGCATTCCAGACTCCCTTGGTTGCTTCTAGCCTGTTCGCATCGAGGTGTTTCGAGGTGTCCTTGAAATCTTGGTGTTCAATGGAGAAGCAGAAAAAGGATGCTCTGATCCTAGAAATCCAAGAGTTGAAAAGAATCCTGGAGGTTTTCAACCGGCAAGTTCTCTCCAGATCATCTCAGATCATCATAATTCAGCTCTGGAGATTTGGAGAGTTTCAGCTCTAGGGCAATGTTTCTCAACCTCCGCATCATTAAGATCCTATCGTTTTAAAAATAAGTAAGGTTGAGAAACACCGTTTTGGGATCCACACTGTGCTGTAGGATTTCGTGCCCTTTTCGCTGGACCAGGGTCAGAAAACTTGGTTCCAGTCTGGTTGAGTTTAGCAAGACCAAACTGGTTTCCACCAAGCAGCTCTATAAAGTTTGGAACATTTTGAACATTCATTAGTTCTGTATAATTATCGCTGGAAGCATACAAGTCCTTAAACCTCCTAAAGGATTAGTTTATTACTTCATTAAAGAGAGTCAAAGCTTGGGTTTTCCCAGGAGTAATGTGAGAGTTGGGCCCTAAAGAAGGCTGAGCACTGAACAACAGAGATGGCAGGGCCCTTAGAGGTCTTCTAATATAGTCCAAGCAGGAGATCTTATACCATTTCAGACAAATGGTTGTCTAGTCTCTTCTTAAAAACCTCTAGTGATGGAGCACCACTTCTAGAGGCAAGTTCTTCCACTGATTGCAGATAGTCCTCAACTTACAACATTTAGTCACCAAAGATTTAACAGCACTGAAAAAAGTGACTTATGACCAGGGGTGGGATTCAAATTTTTTAACAACCGGTTCTGTGGGCGTGGCTTAGGTGGTAGGCATGGCTTGGTGGTCATGTGACTGGGTGGACATGGCTTGGTGGTCATGTTATTGGATGGGCGTGGCCAACTCAATATCACTCACATCAAGGCACGCTTCTCCTTGCCTGGCCTCTCAGGACTGTGGGGATGCTGCAACAGTTGTAAGTGTGAAAAACGGTCATAAGTCACTTTTTTCAGTGCCATTGTAGCTTTGAATGGTCACTCCACACAAGCAAAGTACCAGCAAAGGAGGGGGGAAAAACTCCAGAGAAGTTCCTGAGACAGGAAGTCTAGTCCTGCCAAGAATGTAATAAGGGTTAACGGAGAGGCAGTTTCTGTAAGCAACACCAGAATGTTTCCTTCCTGCCTTCCTTACAGGATTAGGCCAGGAATTTCTTCTAACAACCGGTTCTCCGAACTGCTTAGAATGTTAACAACCAGTTCTAGCAAATAGGTGCGAACTGGTAGAATCCCACCCCTGCTTATGACAGTTTTTCACTTTTTTCACAGCCATTATAACTTTGAACAGTTACTAAACAAATGGTTGTTTTCAAGGACTACCTATACCATCATTGCTGCATTCCGGACCAGCTGTAGCTTCTGAGTGGTCTAGAAGGGTAGCCCCAGAGAATGCCAGCCCCACCCCAGTTCAACCCCAAGCAGCAAACATTCTTTTCCAAGTGTCTGAATCTTCTACCTGTTGTTCTCTCTTCCTGAAAATTGTTGTGCCCCACCCTCAGATAAACCTAAAATTTGGCTTAAGTTGGTCAGTTTGCTTCACTCCTTCCATGTGTTATCTCACTTCTCCCATTGCTCAATTGCTTCTAAGATTGATTCAATCAATCCTCTTCTACCCACTCAAAACTTTTTCTTCTTGACAGCAGTTAGTTATCTATCCTCTCCTCCTTCTAAAACTCATCTCATCTTATCTCAAGTTTATCATTCTTTGACTAATTGGTATATTGTCAGCTACTGGAATCTTGGTAGTTTACCAAAGAGAGACACAGAGAGAGAGACAGAGAGAGACGGGGGTGGGGGAGAAACAGACAGACAGACAGACACACACACACACACACAGAAAGAGACTGACAGACAGAGACAGAGAGACAGTCAGGGAGGGAGGGAGAGTAAGGAGTGGGAAAGAGAGAGAGTAAGAGATAGAGAGAAAAAGAGTCCTACTCCATGGATGTTTGAAAGAATCTCCTGAATTTAAACTGATCTCCTTAATGGTGTTCAGGATAATGTTTAAAAGCTGCTGAGGAATCCTTTCTGTTAATTTCTCCCTCATCTTTTATTTTTGCTTGCATCTTTACTTTCACTTTGATTTTATTTGGAAGTTCCCTTCATGTGGCTTTCTTGCTTTGATAGGTTTGATTATTTTGATTATTTTAGACATATCATAGTAATGTATTCTATTCTGTTCTATTTTATTCTATTCATTCTATTCCTGTTCCATTCTGTTCCTTTCTTATACTATTCTAGTCTCAGTCAACCTATTTTCCAAAACGTTGGAAAGCAAGACAAGAAACAACAGATGAAAACTAACCAAAGAGGGAATCAAACTGGAATTCAGGAGAAATATGCTGGCAATGAGACAAACTAATCAGTAGAAGGACTCCATCCAGAAGTTGTGGAAGTGCTCCATACCATTGGTCCCCACAAGGGGATCACAAGACCACAGTGGATTTAGAGTCCCAGGGATAAGGGAATAGCCATGTTCAAACCACAGTCAGCACGTAGTTCCTTTTCTAATTGCCTTCAGAAATCACTTGTTAACAGTTTTTCAGTTATGAGAAAACTTTGGATTGACAGATTTATAACATTAGCTGTTGAAAGAAGTTTTAAACACAAGATTAAAGATGTAAAAATGTTTTGTAATAAACAGCAAACAGGAGATTAAACTTTTGATTTTGAAAAGTTATAAATGGACGAAGGATTTGAGATATGACTCCAGGAATTAATTATAACAATCCTTCCCGTGGGAAAATGCTTTTTGTTTTGAATTCTCTTTTAAAAAATATGATGTTTTGGAAGGTAGACACTACAGGGAACCAGAAGGATCTAAAGGTGGCAATTAAAGAACACTTAAATTTGATTTACCAATACTGAATGAAGCAAAATACATTAATATTAGACATATTGAAGGATATTTTTGAACATTGAGCTCAGAAGTTAATTTTTAAAGTGTGTGCCTCCAAAGATAAATTGTGTTTAAAAGATGCCATGAAGGAGAGATAAATAATTATAATTATAATTCGTAAGCTGCTCAGAGGCACCTTATATAGGTAGTCCTTGACTTACAACAATTCATTTAGTGACTGTTCAAAGTTACAACAGCACTGAAAAACTGATTTATGACACTTTTTTCACACTTGCGACCCCTGCAGCCTCTTCTTGGTCCTGTGATCAAAATTCAAACACTTGGCAACTGACTCATATTTATGACGGTCTCAGTACCCCGGGATCATGTGAAAGTCAGTGGGGAAGCCAGATTCCCTTAACAATTGCCTTACTGATTTAATAACTGCAGTGATTTACTTAACAACTATGGCAAGAAGAATCTTTAAAGTGAGGTAAAATTCGCTTAACCAATGTTTAGCTTAGCAACAGAAATTTGGGGTTCAATCATGGTTGTAAGTTGAGGACTATCTGATGGGCAGCATAGAAATTTAATAAATGAAGTAATTTCTAAGATTGTAACTTTATTTATTTATGATAAATAATATTGAGCTGACAGTGGATATAAAAATTACAAACGATAAGAATGATGTAGAAAAAAAACTATGCTGGACATAAAAAGATGCTGGCTGATGTCTTAATGATTTTATTTATTATATATTTTTTTATCCTGCCTTTATTACTTTATAAGTAACTCAAGGTAGCAAACAAAAAGCTTGACTAATGCAGAAGCAGAGCTATAGCACCTTAACCATGACACCCTAACAAACCAAGATAACTTTTTCTATATCGGATTTACCAAAGAGGCATTTTAAATGTTTGAAGAATTTTGTGGGAAGGGACAAAAGAAAATGTAAAAAAAGAAATCAAATGCTAGGACATTATTCTTACTAAAGATTAAGAATGCTAAAAGTAAAAGGAAGGAATACAGGTGGTCCTAGATTTATGACCACAAGTGAGCCCAACATTTATGTTGTTAAGCGAGACAGCAGTCTAGCGAGCTTTGCCCCATTTTAACTATCTTTCTTGCCACCGTTGTTAAGTGAATCTCTGCAGTTATTAACTTAGCAACACCGTTGTTAAGTGAACCTGGTTTCCCCCATTGACTTTCCTTTTCAAAAGGTACAGTGGGTGATCACATGATCCAGAGACACAGCAACCGTCATAAATATGAGTCAGTTGCAAAGGGGTCTGAATTCTGATCACGTGACCCCAGGGAGGCTGCAACAGTTTTAAGAGTGATTTTTTTAAAAAAAGTTCCTTTTGTCTGTGCTGTTGTAACTTCGAATGGTCACTAAATGAGCAGTTGTAAATCCTTGGTATTCCTTTTCTTTCTCTTTAATATATTCTTATTTCATCTTTCTTTTTTATCTTTTACGTTCTTTCTTTCCTGCACTTTTTGCTTAGTATTTCGTTTCTTTTTAGTGTGTATCCATGTTACCTTTTTAATTGCAATTCACTATTTAACAACAACCAAAAAAGAGAGACAAACCATGCCTCTCAGTCATGCTTAGCTTAGAGATTGACATTGTAATTGTTACCTCTAAGGAGTCCAGAGCAAACATCTTAACAAATGCTTTACAATTGCATAAAATGCTATGTGATGTTATCTAAAGATCTGCTATTCAGCTTCTGATAAGCCAAATTAAACCTCATGACAAACCAAAATGTCAAGCCAAATTAAACCCTTAATCTGAGTTGTTGTAACTTCAGGTACAATGAGTGAAAAAAAAATCCCCTCCCTTTTTACAAAAGCATTTAAAGTATGATTGAGTATTCCAACCGACTACCATAAACCATGATTTTACCAAAT